TCCCCTCTCGCGAGCTTCCGACGAGCAAAATCCACGGGGAAGCCAGATTCGCTTAACGGCCGGGTTTCTAACTTGTGACCTGCAGTGATTCACTTAACGACTGGCCAGGAAGGTCATAAAATGGGGCAAACTCATTTAACGGCAGAAATGGGCGCGCTTGAGGTCGTCGGTCCAAGGATCACCTGTCCTTTTCTATCAGATTTGTCTTTCACGGACTGATATTTGTGTAGCATTTTCAAAGGCGAGATGGAGAAAATCGTAATTTTGTTTTTTTATTATTTCCAATTAAAGGATAAATGATCGGGGTTCGACCGTGGGCGCCGTGCCCGTTTGCCTAATAATGAGTACGAATTGTTGCGCCCCGTTGTGCCGTTTTCACCAAATAAGGAGATAATTCTGCAGGAGTCTTGTCTGAACACATTGTACCCAGGGATTGTGTTTCTGTGTGACTCGTCACAAGGTGACATTCCTGGCATGAGCATGAAAGAACAGCAGCCATCCCCAAGTGACTAAGGACTTATTTTGTGCCCTGGCAAGCAGCCCAGTGGGACAGACGTTAATTTTCTGAGCATATTTGCATTAGCTGGATGGATGGAAACTAACCAAAGAGAGAAGCAACCTAGAACTAAGGAGAAACTTCCTGACAGTTAGAACAATTAACCAGTGGAACAACCAGCCTCCAGAAGCGGTGAATGCTAGAACAGTGGAAGTTTTTAAGAAGAGACTGGACAGCCATTTGTCTGAAATGGTATAGGGTTTCCTGCCTGAGCAGGGGGTTGGACAAGATGACCTCCAAGGTCCCTTCCAACTTTATTATTATTATACATGAACCTCAGTCAACTGAACATTCAAATTGGCTGGGGCTGATGGTTGACACGGGTTGCTGCCAGCATCCAAGGTGTCAACCAGGTACCTCCTTAAAATGTAAAATGTTCCGAGTAGCGCAGTCTTTTGCAGCATTGCTGGAATTATTGCAGGAAGCTGCAGTTTCTTGATGTATTTTGCAAAGTTTTTGGACATAGTTCCCAGTGGCCCGATGACAATGGGGATCACTGTTACACGTTTCATCCATAATCGCATAGTTTCGATGGCCGGGTCGCGATATTTCATAATTTTTTTCCAGTTCTTTTTCTTCCACTCACTCTGGCATCTCCTGGTACAGTGATATCAATCAGGTGTACGCTTCAGTTCTCTACAACTGCGATATCTGGCGTGTTGTGTTCCAAATGATGATCTGTCTGTATTCGAAAGTCCCACAAGATCTTCACCCTCTCATTCTCAACCACTTTTTCCTATTATTATTATTATTATTATTATTATTATTATTATTATTATTATTATTATTATTATTATTATTATTATTATTATGGATCATCGCACAGTCAGCCAGATGTTCAGACTGGATTTGGCATTTTTGTCTACCTATCGAGTCCTTACCCAGGACCTGGGATAGGCAGATTCAGATGTTTGATGGTATTACAGATCTCGTCGCAGGATGAAAGCAGTTCCTAGTAGGGCCGCCTTTTGCAATTGACTAATGGCAAATTTGTCAATGCCGATGATGGTGTCCAAGTGGTGCTCCAGTTGTTTTGGGATTGCACCTGTGAGAAAGGAAGAAGTTTAAAAATAAAACAGTCACAATTGATTAACAATAGAAGGATTAGCCAAGCCCTGCACGTAGGCACTAGATTCCAGGAGGCTTGGCTAGAAGACACACTTAACAAGACAAAAGGATGGCAGAGAGAAGTTCTGAACAATGGAACTGAGGGGGAGGGATGATGTATTCTGGCTAGGCGGATCGGACAGATTGTGCCCCCGGAAGTCCTCTCAAATGGGACCTAAGGGGAGGGGATGGGGGCGTCGCGATAGGAGTGTATATAATGTTATGAGTTTGAATATTTTTGTGTGGTCTCTGGGTTTAGAACTTCCTGTTGAAGTCTCTCACCAGGATCCACCACACTTTGCAAACCGCTTTTCTATTTTCTGCAGAATAAACTCTTTTTCTTACCAATCCAATTTTGTTGGTATTTTAATCACGTTTCCAACACACCCAAGGCGCCTATGACTATTGGTACTACCCTTGCTTGCCTTTGCCACAATCTTTCTATTTCTATTTGTAGGTCTTTGTATTTTGTTATCTTCTCCAGTTCTTTCTCGTCTATTCTGCTGTCTCCAGGCACTGCCACGTCCACTATCCAGACTTTTTTGTCTTTCTTATTGACATTATTATTACTACTACTACTACTACTACTACTACTACTACTACTACTACTACTACTACTACTACTACTACTTGCCCTTTCCCTTCCCTTCTCCCTGATGGCTGGGTTCAGATTATGCTCTACAGTCTACAACAGGGACCGGTTCCATGGAGAGAGGTTTTTCTGCAGATTGGAGGGTTGCGTGGTTTTGCGTACTGCCTACATCCTGCGGATGGGGCTTCGCTTGTTTGTGCGGACCGGTTGCTAGCATGCCGCAGCCCGTTACCGGGCCACACACCAGGGGGGTTGGGGATCCCTGCTCTACAAAATGTTGGACTTGCTTGCTGGCAGAGTCTTTTAGGGCCAACCTAGAGAAATTTTAGCCCTTGGTGACATGGTTTCCATTTTCAGCTCCATCATGAGGACTAGAAACGAAGGAGCGTTAGAAAAAGACCAGAGTTTAAAAAAAAAAAAAAAAGCAGGAAAAATATTAGAATTCGGAATCAGATAAACATAAATGCCAGTATTTGGGAGTTGTCAAGTATTAGCACTTGAGAACTTTACAAGGTAATCCTCCACTTGCAATTATTCATTTAGTGACCGTTTCAAAGTTATAATGGCACTAAAAAAAGTGACATGATCTTTTTTCGCGCTTGTGGCCATCGCAGCATCCCAGGGTCACGTGATCAAAATTCGGATGCTTGGCAACTGACTAATAATAATAATAATAATAATAATTAAAATAATTAAAATTAAACTTAAAAAAATAAAAGTTGGAGGGGACCTTGGAGGTCATCTAGTCCAACCCCCTGCTCAGGCAGGAAACCCTATATACCATTTCAGACAAATGGCTGTTTATGACGGTTGCCAGTTCCCGGAGTCACGTACGACCTTCTGACAAGCAAAGTCCATGGGGGAAGCCAGATTCACATAACAACCGGGTTGCTCACTTAACAAAGGCAATGATTCATTTAACAACGGTGGCGAGAAAGGTCGTAAAATGGGGTAAAACTCAAAAACTTTAACCAATGTCTCACTTAGCAGCCGAAATCACAGAATAACAGAGTTGGAAGGGACCTGGGAAGTCTTCTAGTCCAACCCTCTGCTCAGGCAGGAAACCCTATATACCATTTCAACTCCATTCTGGTCATAAATCAAGGACAGGGAGCAAACCCCATTCCCTACTAGCACTGAAAATGTCATTTAGTCTCTAACTTCTGCAAGCCAATCGCCAAGGTCAGAGAGCACCAATGATTCCACTAAGGCTTTAAAACAGGGGCCTTCAAACTTGGCTCTTTTATGACTGGTGGACTTCAACTCCCAGAATTCCGTTGAAGTGCACCAGTCATAAAAGGGCCAGGTTTGAAGACCCCTAGTCTGGATCGAAGCCTGCAGTTTCATCAAAATGGCCGACTGAGGAATTCTGGGAGTTGAAGTCTACCAGTCCTAAAAGGGCCAAGTTTGAAGACCCCTGGTCTGGATCCAAGCCCGCAGTTTCATCAAAATGGCCGACTGAGGAATTCTGGGAGTTGAAGTCCACAAGTCACGAAAGGGCCAAGTTTGAAGTGCCCTGCTTTCAAATCTCCTGAAGTCCAGTGTTTTGAGTTCACAATGTACAGAATTAAACTTTTATGGAATCCAAAACGGGGCGTTTGTTATCCAGGCCAAGCCGAGAGTTGTCTGGTAACCTTTAGGAGGTGGTTATTTTTGAATCCCGTGTTCCCAAATTTTGAGGATTCTATTCTT